CACACACACACACACACACAACGTTTGTACTTCTATCTTAGTGAGGACATTCATTGGCATAATGCATTCCCCAGCCCCTAATCCTAACCATCCAAACTAAATGCCTTACCCTTAACCTAACCTAATTCTAACCCTTACCCTTAGTCTTAACCCCAAACAGTCACAAAGTGAGGACCTACTAAAATGTCCTCACAAGGCTAAAACTGGTCCTCACAAAGATAGCTATACAAGAGCACACACACAGCTGTGTGCAGCAAGCTGTAGAAAAACACCACCTGCTCAGCTGTATATGGCAGACAGACATCATGAGCGTCTAGCAGGTGAACATTGTGGAACATTTACCATATAAAGAGCCAATTGTTTCCCTTGTTGGTAGAGATTGTTATTGAGTGTTTGTGTTGCTCTGTAACTGCACAGCGTGCACACATGCAGCTCTATGGCGATAAGTTCTTCATATTTACTGAAAGGTTGATGATCAGTGAATGAATGAGGAACACATAAACCATTTCTGCTGCTCCCATGTGGCCATAAGAAAATAGGGATTTGAATGTTAAATCCTAAAATTTAGACTGAACCAGCAACAGTCCTGTTCTTAAGAAGGTGTCAGATAAACATCCTCACTCACAAAGTCTAAACTCATCTCTGCCCTCACAAAGATAGAAAACGGGAGTAGCACTAGCATACACTGATACATGTGTTCCTAAACATTCACGTACAGTATGTGGGTTCAGGCATATCCTTCACACCATGTCGTCTGTGTGTAGGTGTATGAGGCGTACGGCCAGACGGAGTGCACAGCTGGCTGCACCTTCACCACACCTGGAGACTGGACCCCAGGTGAGCTGGTGTTTATGCAACAGACCTAGAAAAGAGAAAAAGATCCTGATCTCTGCCTGGCTCACTCGGTCTGTTTACTAAACTGCAGGCTTGGTTCAAAGATCTAAGATTTTAGTCATTTACTCACAAAGAATGTTTTACTCCCACACTGGAACAAAGTTTAACATGAAGTCACTGATTTGTAATCTGTGAAAGGGGAATCAGGCAGACATCAAAACTGTGTCTGTGGAGGGGCTGCATGTCTTATCAGCTCGAGGAATGATTAACAGAGTGCCCTCAGAAAAATAAACAGGTTGTGAGGGTTGTACACAGTCGGGGAGGGTGAGGCAGAAAGAAAGAGGCAGAGAGAAAGAAGCTGTTTGGCCAGATTAGTCTGTTCGGCCAACATCAACAGGCAGGTAAAGAAGACGGTCATTATCTGTCATTACTGCCTGTATTCACTCTGTAGAGTGCTGCATTGTTGTGTTAAGTCTTATGGCATTGATTGGAATTTTCCATGTTATGTCGATGAGGTTTACACTTAATGGTAGTGTGTGTCTTTCTCTGAGGGCACTCATTAGATAATACATGTATAGACACACAGATAGACAACACAATAAAGCAGTGCATTTTAAAACTATAACATTTCTCTAAAACTAAACAACAATTATTTTGTTATTATTTAATGTATATGACTATATCATATTTAATAATAAAAATCATCATCATCATCTGGTAATAGTTAATATCAAATATGGCATAGGTCATGTCATGTACATATTTACAAAATATTTGTAATCGGGTGAAGGGACGGTTTTTAGAACGACTCGTCCACATGACCACAGGATACAGGAGAACTTGGTCATTCTAAGATGGCGTCCTGTCCTTTCCAGTGACAGTTAATTACTGAACGTTGAACACGTTCTTCAGGCCTCCACTTTTTTTGGGGCCCAGAGCTCAGAGTCATTCACTGATGTGCTTGAACAACTGTAGCATTACATCACAGCTCAGTGCTCATCCTCATGGGCCTCGTGAACATGCCAACACCTGCTCAGTTACATTAGTTTCCACTGTATTGAAAGAACCTAAGTGACTGTTTTGTATTAAAATCTCAGTATGTAAACCACATGGAAAACTTTATCACTTTTTAAATTCACTGAATGAATCCACTCTCCCGGAGAACATCGTGATGACTCAGAACTTAAGTAATCTGTAATTTGCCTCTTATGGAACCTAAATGCTAAAAAAACATATTCAAACATTCCTCTCTTCATCATCTTCATCTTCATTTACTGTAAATGTTTCAACAACTGCGCAAGAGAAGAGACTTTAAAATCTGTGGCCTACATGTGATTTCAAACATTGTTACATAAAACTTTTAACTGACATTAAAATGTAAAACATTTGAGAAAATCTAGAAGATCCTCAGTTACAGTAGCAGGAGTAAACACCATTCATTTCTATGACCCTTTGATTTAATGTTTGCTCTTTTCATGATCACATATTTTTAAGAAAGTCTGAGCTGAAACTAAAATGATACAGACATGATACCTGTTGTTTGATCACATATCAGAAAAGAAACACAAGCATGAGTGGCTGGCAGCTGGTATGTGCCCCGGCCTGTTGTGCCACTTACATCGGGGTCAGTATTTTAGGATAATTAGATAACACTTACCATGTAAATTCAGGCTAGCATCGCCCCCTACTGCTCAGTTTTCATATTGCATGAGATATCTGGATCTATGAAGAAATGGATCTTACTTCTCTTCTCTCTTTTTTTTGAGTTTTTCCTGTCCTGTCTGAAAACCAAGTTTCTAATTATTTTGTTTTGTCTGACGAACAGGTCATGTCGGAGCTCCGCTGCCATGTAACCTCATCAAACTGGTGGACGTTCCTGATAAGAACTACTTTGCCTCTAAGGGAGAGGGGGAGGTAAGCAGCAGGACACACATCTTGTACATGTGCTGTATCAACTGTACATTGTGGGTACATGTGTGTGTTCACCTCCCTTTCCACACATGTAAGGGGGATTTGAAATTTTTAAAAGCCACTTTGATTTGAAGACACAGGGCCAGACACAAGACGTGGCGCTGAAGTCAAAATCACAATTGACCCTTTAGAAAAGCTAACCTCAAATAAGACAACACAACACCAATCACTATGTTAGCGTTTTCATCCGTAGGAAAAAGACGAACAGTGCGTCTGTCCAATTAGCAACGTTAATGGGTTTTGTCACTTGTTGTTTGTGACTTGATGTTATGATTTGCACTTCAGGGCCTCAATGAAGATGTAAAACCAACTTTAGAAATTATTACCAGAGCAGAAAGGACTAAAAAGATATGTTATCTACCCTCTTCTAATCATTCATCTAGGTTTGTGTGAAGGGACCAAACGTGTTTAAGGGCTACCTCAAAGACCCAGAGAGGTCGGCCGAGACGCTGGACGCAGACGGCTGGCTCCACACCGGAGACATCGGCAAATGGTTGCCTGTAAGAACCTGCAGATGACTTTAGACTCCAGTATTTATTTGTTATAGTCTAATATATTTTTCATTGCATTTGTTTGAGGAATTTTCACCCTATTCTCAAACTCTTGTCTCGTGTAGAACGGTACGCTGAAGATTATCGACAGGAAGAAGCATATCTTCAAGTTGGCGCAGGGAGAGTACATCTCCCCGGAGAAGATCGAGAACATCTACATAAGGAGTGAACCTGTGGCACAGCTGTATGTTCATGGAGACAGTCTGCAGGTAAGGACAATATCAGACACACACATGCACAGTATCTTCATGTTCCGCTGACCTCCTTCTCCTGTTCAGTTGTTTAAACACCATCAAACCACGACAAATAAAGTGCATGCTCACCTTCACGTGTTAAATCTTTTGACTTTTTCTCCTTGTGGTTATTTGCCCTTTCCAGTCCTGTTTGGTGGGTATTGTGGTTCCTGACCCAGAAGTTATGCCTGGATGGGCCAAGAAGAAAGGCATGTTGGGTACCTACAAGGACCTCTGTAAAAACACGGTAGGTGACACATGGCTCAGAACTTTTCTGGATATTTTGCTGGAAGCTTCAGATAAAGTTGTTAATGACAGATGCTGGGAAGAAGTTGAAAAAAGAAAACCTTTTTTTTTTTTGGCAACAGGAGCTAAAGAAGGCAATCCTTGAAGATTTAGTGCGTTTGGGCAAAGCCAGCGGCCTCCACTCATTTGAGCAGGTAAGCAGGGAAACATCTGTCACAATATATTTGTTTGCTGCATCATTTTCTTTGTGTCCTAGCAAAAATATTTTGAATAACTTTAGTCTTTAAGCCTTCAAATGATTTATGAATACATCGTTGTAGGGTCAGAGTTTTTACAAATTGCTCTAGTTGAGTAGTTGAGTTCCCCAAAAGTGAAGCCGTATCATCTCGCCCCTGGTGGCTGGCTGCAGTATAGGTCATGAACCCTTCTTCCTCCATGTTAGCAAAAGGGACATGGACCAAACTAAAAAGTCAAAGTACGTTATTAGTTATTTGATGCTATAGAAACTGGTTGAAATATCTTGATTGACAGCTGAGACTGACTCCCTGTTGGTCGTAAGATATTTAATTCCTGGATAGTGAGAGGAGGTGAAGATATGTCTTTATATATTTCTTTCTTATGCTAATGCCTCTGTTTTCTTCAACAATATCACCTGAAGTTACACAACCATTCACCATCTTTTTTATTTCCTGTCCATTGTGTATTAAGGTGAAGAACATCTACATCCACAACCAGATGTTCTCCATCGAGAACGGCCTCCTGACTCCGACACTTAAGGCCAAGAGACCCGAGCTGAAGGAGTTCTTCAAGGGGAAGATCGACCAGCTCTACAACAGCATCTCCATGTGAAGGCCGGAGGGACCACGTTTTTCCCTCGAGCATCTTAACACTAAGATCTGCTTTGACCCTCGATGTGCCAGTGGTCAGAGATGCAACACCTTGGGTTTAACATGCTTCGGGAAAGCAAGTGAAACTCTGGCTCTGCTTTAGAAGATTTAACAACAGCTAAATAAAAACAAACAAAGAACCAAGGGAAAGGCAGTGCACAACGTTATGTGCATTTCCTTTTAATGTGCATTTACTGTGTCATAATTAAATGAAATTATGTGTTTTTTAAGAAGACAGTTATTTAGCTTTTAGACTTAATAATGGAATAACTTGTTTTTTATGACATGAATTTTCAATGTCAAATTTAAAAAAACTAAATAAAAACCCTGATGGGCTGAATGTGAGAGCACAGGATGGACACATTTTGCAGTGTATCTTGTTACTACTTCTTCACTTTTGTTAAAAATGAAAACGACTGTACTTAAAAAATATATAGGGAGCGACCTTTTGTACCATGAAGATATTCTCTCTTCTGTCATCAGCCGAAGTAAAGATATATACTGCAAAATTCATCCATCCTCAAGTCTCATGCCAGCAATATTTGGCTTATTGTCCCCCTCTCAAGCTGTGATTGAGGAGTTTGTTTAAAATCGTTGGCACAAACAGTGTGTTTTTACTAATAATAAAAAAAGGCAGTTATGTACTACTCCTCTTTACTTAGCTTTCTGTGTAATGAATTGTTTTTAATGCAGCCTGGAAAATTAATGTCACATTAAGAATTGTGTTATTGTCCATTAAATATAAAGTTTTTGATTCAGTTATGACACAGTGAATGCACAATACACATATAAATGTGTATCATTTTTCTTTGTTTGACTTGTTTTTTATTTTGCCAGGATAAATCCTCCATACACCGCTACCTGCGATCCACCCAAACAAACCATCAAATGCTCCGTCCCCAGCAGCACACACTCATCAGCACTTTTACGTTGAGAAGTCCACTCCTGTTTCCAGCTAACTCTGCTCCTCCATCACTTTCAACCCACCAGCCAGAACACTCAACCAAAATCTACTGCTGTGCTTTGACAGTCAAGTGTTGTGACATCTGTGACTAGTGTAGCCAAAGGAGAGGTGTAGATGTGAGGGAATGCTAATGTGAAGTCTATTGAACCCCGTTGTTGCACAATTAGACCAAAATCCACCTGTTTGAGATCAGGATTACGATTGTAAGGAATCACGGTTGTCGACACTGTTCCACTGTGGAGCATCACATTTCGTGTCATGTATCCACTCGTCTGTCATCAGCAGTTTGGCACGCATGCTCCTCGTTTATATGAAGGACTTGCCCCACTGTAACAACCATCAAACTTCACACTGCACATTTGACACCTTCAACTGTTTTTTTTTTCATTCAACTTTTGCACAGAGAGTATGAATGACAGGTTAAAAGAAAACTAAAAAAAGAACATGATGCAAAAACCAGGGCTCGGGGCAATGCATGCAGTTTGCCCTGCAGTGCTGGGACCGTTAGCATTTGACTTGAAAAATGGGCAACTTATTCTTTGTGGCCATTAATAGCAGGTTTGTATACAGCTGCCCCACAGCCACCGCTGCTAGTGCAAGGCTTTGTAACGTAGGCAAAGCCGATGAATTCCACTCACCGAAGGCGAACAGAACATACATCAACTTTTAAAACAAGTAAAGACAATGATTTTTTTCTGAAGGGGTTTACACATAGAAATAATGTATAGGCTTTTTAAGTTGATTACCGTCCCAAAGCATAAACAATGTGGATGTACATAAATGAGGACAGCTAGATGTAAGCATATTTATTAAATCAATGGTTTGAATGGATTTTTTTTCTCTTTTTGCGTGTAGTGAGATGAATTGTAATTATTTATTTATCTATTCTGCTGTAAAATGGAATCAGCACCATATCCTTGTAATGATTGAGTGCAGCAATAGGGATGAGGGAGCGTGGGGACTAGGAAAGGGGGCAATGAAATAAAAGATATTCTGGAATGATTTTAAACCGCCGTCTGTTTTCTTTCTTCATGGTTTACTCAAAGCTTTTTACACACAGCTTTTGTTTTTAAAGTTTTCCCTGAATTTGCCTTTTTGTAAAAAATATATGCAATATAAATGACTTACTTACAGTGATTTAAAGTTGCAGCGAAATGTCAGCTAAATGAAAATGTAAGTGGTTTCTATTCCTGTAATTTTACTTTAGGTACTTAAATTATATTAATGCCCTGATACTTTTACTTAAATAAAACTTTGAATTCAGGAGACAACACTTTTTTATACTGTGGTATTTTACTCCTGTACAAGGTCGTGGTACATCTTTTATCCCTGCTCCTTCGTGTATCTGAAACATGTATTCAGACCCTTTTTAAGGGTTGAAAACCCAGAAACATTGGAACCACATATTCTTTCAGAATGCCTTATATTTTATAAACATATCATGTCTTTTTCTACTGTAAAATCTTACTATAGAAATCAATTCATGACTTGAGCTGTCAAATGAATTCATTGATTTAAAATGTAAAATATGTCTTTCTAAAAATAAAGTGGACAAGAAGCATGAAGTAGCATGAAATGAAAATACTAAAGAGTAGGATGAGAACTTTGAATTGTTCTCACCATCTCCAGGTAGAACATTTGTAATAATAATATCATTATTTAAAATCATTTATGAGCGCCTTTCACAGCACTCATGATGGCCTTACAAAAAAAGAAATATATCAAACGGATGAATAAAATGAATGGTGAATATAACATTATGTAAGTTGTATTTTGTATTGTTAAATTCTATCTTTGATGCAATAGTAAATAATCAGTATGGTGTAAATGTTCTCACTCTTGTAATTAGAGTTGTGACCACCAGATGACACTCTGGACACTGCGATTACAGATTACACAATATTTGTTCAACTTTCTTTTTGCAATTAAAGATTAGCATCACAGCAAACCAGCACTTCCGGTAAAAACTTTCAAAATAATAAGACTATCCATAAGAATCATTTAACCTCATCACGCAGCAGCAGTTGATTGACAGGTGGGGTTGACAGGTGTGCTCTGTTGCTAGGATCCGCCTCAGAGACCGGAAACGACAAGCTCTCTCTATTGGTACCGATAATATCTGGGTCAAAGAGATCGAGACATTATTCTGGCGACATCAGGCCGTTACTGTGTTTGCTCCACTTCACGTTAGTTCAGTTTGACGGTTGGTTTTGGGGATAATGGGGCGAAAGAAGCGTGAAGATGGTCACAGTGACAGAGGATTACCAGACACACCAGCGATGAGCAGACGATACAGTGAGAACACACACACACACACACACACACACACACACACACACACACACACACACCAATTATTTATTTATGAGCATCTGTAATAAATATATCTGACATAAAGTATTGACTTCATAAAATAAATCTACTGTACTGGAGTGAGTGGTGAAGGATGAATGGATGAATTAAAGTCATGAATATTCTGTCCTGTTGAATCTCACTATGTCCAGAGCACAGGAGACTTCTGACCAACAGGCATCATGAGGCGTTTCCAGAAGAGGCTGAAGAGCAGGAGGTGAAAGTCAACCACTCTTCTGATATTTCACTGCACATATGAATAACAAACTCAATATTTATACATTAGACAATAATCAGTCCAATTTAAACCTTGTAAATTCTCTAGGGCTTCTGGTTGAAGCAAACATAAATGAATGTCGAGTCCCTATGGTACAAAGAAAGCAGCTGGGGGGTTGTAAATAATTTGCTAATAGATTTACTGATTGACTGATCTATTGACAGAAAATCAATAGGGAACATTTTTGATAAGTAGTTGTTTTCAGTCAAATGCCAAATTTTGAATAGTTCCAGTTTAGCAAATCAGCTACTTTTTCCCCAGGTTGTAAATGAATTGACTGGAACGCAGTTTGAATATTTTATGATACATTTTTGTGGGATTTTGCAACAGAAAAAAAAAGAAAACAACGGATTGGTCACATGTGGACAGTAAATGTGCATGCACTCAAATGTGTCCTCATTTTAGACCTGTCCACTTGCGATCAGATATCTCTATATATCTCTAATACCAGGTCTGAACAGGACCTAAATAAATGAAGGTCTAACAACTAGATTTTTGAGTCTTGCTACAGCGCCACAGGCTACATGATGGTGGTCCTGTTATAGTTTCACATTTCCAACAAATTGAGCAAGTCACTTATCGTTAATGCAGCCAAACACTGAAATACATATATGGGATGATTTGTAGAATACTAGATTTTAAATTTCAAAGGATTTACCAATGTTTGTCATACTTTTGTGTGTGTGTTTGTGTCTCCATCTTCCCCAATGCTCATCCTCTACTCACAGACTAGCATCAAACCTGTCCAGTGCAAATCTGTGTTTTACTCAAGCCGCCCTGCATGTACTGGAAACGTCAAACACAAAGTCGTCTCACCAGTGATTCCAGACGATAAAAAGCCTGCACCAACATGGAACACAACCATTAACATGACCCCTGACCCAGAGGCTTTCAGACGTGGTGGAGTTAAAGAAGAGGAGCGAAACTTGGCAGTGACCCCCGGAAGCATTACATCTTCCAGCATAGGGACAGATGCAACATTTAACTTTGATGAGGATGATGAAGAAGACTGTTACTCCTCCTCCTCTTCATCATCCAGCAGCCTTCCCTCACCAGAGATCTTCAGGAGAGAAAACTATGGTGTGTGTGTGTGTTTGTGCATTTTTATTGATACCATTACCAAACTTGCAAGTTTATTCTGTCCTACTGTTTTTCTTTTTCTCGTCTCTTTTCTCTTCACAGTGGAAACGTTGACTTTCCCCATGAAGGAGGAGACACTGGATCTCCATCTTCACATAAAAAACTCCACCTTGCTGGATGTGAGCCACGCCCAGAACATCCACATGCACGACACCCCCAACATTTCTACCATCATTGGTGAGTGCGAGAAAATCCGTTCATAAGACCTTTGCTTATTACAGTCTATTTTCTGGGATATGCAAGAGTTCAGTTTCTTTCACATTGCGAGGCCTTTTCTGACAATTTCACCATTTGAACCATTGAACTTAAGGGAACTGTTGGGCCTTGAAAGGAGGTATGTGATCTGAGGCTTACAATGTAATGTACTGTATGTTTTGAGTGAGTTTCATTTCATTCACCTTCCACAGGGTTTATACACTATATAAACGTGATGTCAAAATACCAAAAAGACATTTTGCACAGGGAAACTTGTTTTACACCTCATAACAGAAAAGTGAATCTGATCTAATTTGATGTCTGTGTGTGGGTATGTCTCTTAAACTGTCTGCTTTTGTCTGATGAGAATTAAACCTCTGTTTGCAGATGCCTCCACAACTCATGCAAAGAGGAACCGTGAGATCCAGTGAGTTTGTCTGATCATTTTATTTTCTGGAAAAGTCACTGAGTGCAAACTAGGTTGATTTACATGATATTCATACTAGTCTTTTCTAACCACAGAGGGCCTGAACCCGAGACTAAAATACCAACAGATTCATTCAAATCAGGTAAAGAGTCGCATTTCATGCAGAGGTAAACTGTATGTTCACCAAACAGAACGCTCTTATAATGAGCCACATAATCTTAATGTAAGTCATTCGTCAATGTTGCTTTTTTTAGCAGAATTTACTGCATGAAACTTAGATTCTTTACCATAGTGTAAATTAAATGTTGTGTCTTTCAATCTTCAATCTGTAGACAATCTGGCTCAAGCATTCAAGCGGAAAACTCCAGTGAAAGTAAGAAAGTCACCTTTAAAAGTAGTTTGAAATATGATCACCATTTATTTATTTTGGTCAAATCAAAAGTTACATGGATTGTGGTGATGGAGAAACATAATTGTGCTTCATCAGCTCACCAACAGAAGACTTATTCTGTGCAAGAAGAAAGTATCGTTCAAAACCCCCGTTGTTGCTGAGACCCAAGAAGTGAAACGCATCTCAGCCGCCAGAACAACTCTTCCAAACACCAGCGAGTCAGCTCGAAGGCCCAGCCCGGCCGAGCAGGTGAAGCCCCATGCAGAGGCGTCGGGAGCGGGCGAGATGAATTCTGAGGACGGCACGCCGCATCTGAGGGTGAGGCTGAAAAGGCCTGTGAGGAGGAGCCCGGAGAAAGCCAGGTTCTTTGACTTTGTCAGTGACGGTGACAGGGATCTGTTCTTTCAGAGGGCGAGAGAGAGGTGTGTCAAACTCCGGAGCATTGCTTTGTTTTCCTCTCCCGGCTGCTAAGAACACAGACGCTGGTGTCCTGTGACATTTGAAGCAAAAACATGAAAACATGTCACCCTCCTCCCATAAACCAGTCGGCGAGGTTTCCTCTAGAGGAATGAGCTTCAAAACAACGTCAGTGAGACTTAAAGTATGAAATGTATTTAAAAATCAGTATTATTCAAATGTGTTATTTAAAGAACTGCCTTTAACTTTGTGCCTGTGCACCACAAACCACATGAACATGAGCAAAGTGACCTTTTAAAGTCCCTCAGCTCTTATTCTTATCATTCCATACAAACTGTGCTCCCATGTGACTCTCTCCTTTTGGCAAACGATATTAATATATAACCAGATATTTTGATTATATCTGTTTATACAAATGTACTTCTTTTTTCCACACATCCACATTCTACCTCTCCTACATGCTGTGTGGTGCCATGTGACCACTAGATGTCAGACCTGTATCCTGTTAAATGACCATCTTTCTTCATTGTCCTGACAGTGATTGTTTTGTTTTGTTATATATGTTGGTGTGAATATACATGTTGTCTGTAAACTTTAAATGTATTTGCATTGATTCGTTTGACTGTGTGTGCACGAGGCTTCTATTGAATGGTTGATTCAAGGCAAATAAAGTTCAAATGTGAGTTTATTGTAGGTTTTTGTGTGTGTGTGATACTTTGGATTAGTGAGTCGTGTGTTTCCTTATGCACGTTTGCTCTTGGGCTGTCAGAAAAATAAAGTTGAGATGTGTGAAACGTAAACAAACAATGTATTCTCCTGTACTTTTCTCAGTTTGCCGGTTCTTTGTGAATGAACTGTCTCCTGGTGTGGCTCTCCCCTGGATCTTTGCAGCAGCACTTGTGTGACTTTCTGGGAATACATTTCACGCCGTCACGACTCCCGACAAAACATCAACACAAGCGAATCCGCTGACCACGTGGTGCCGCGGACCAAAATACCAGCCAATCGGCTATTTTGTAGTAATGTGATGTCAGCCAATGATAAAAAAGGAAGCCGGTTACCAAGCATCCCTGTGACTAATGCCTGTCATATGACTGTGACATCCATGGAGACGGTCACAGGGAGCGAGCTCTGCTCTCGGGTTTGAAAAGAGAGAGGCTTTCTGCGCCGGGTTTGTTTTCAATACAAAATGCCCCCGACTCTCTTCCAGAAACTTTTCAACAAGAGAAACGCGTTTTCGTCGCCGCCTCCGAGATGCAGCAAAGAGGACCCAGCTTTCAGGTCAGCTCCGTCCTGCTCGTGTTCAACCTTATCCTGACACTTTCGCCGTCATGTGTGTTTTCTCATTCTGCGCGTCCTCCCGTTGATCCGGAGGCGCGTTTTACAAGTGAACGCTGCGGGGCTTTGGTCGGTTTCACGAAGAAAAAGTGCGGGAGGACGCGTTGTGTCCTGTCGGTGGGGGTTAGCTAGCAGGCTAATGCTAACCGCCAGACGTTAGCGGGGCAGCTGCAAACACGCCGCCGTCTCCTGGTGGGACTCGTCTGGCTAACACTGTGTCAATCCACCGCTGGTCGTGTAGTGTTGATGATAAACCGCCAGTGAGTTGATTATAAACGCGTCTGTCTCCCACTGAAACTACAGCTGGGGGGGTGTTATGGTTCAGAAGTTGGAGAAGCAAGTGTTGTTGCCTTCCTCCTTTGTCCCCCCTCCTCCCCTCCTCAGTGTCCCCCCTTTGTGTCTCCTGGGTCGTATCAGCTACAACCTGCGTGTTAGCGAGATCAGCAACCACGCCAGGTCCACGTTCTTCACCTACATCCCTTGATAACTTGGTGTAAGTGGCTTCCATGCCCGGCGGTAGTGTTACCAGTGCGGGAGGACACTGTGTGCTCGGGTGTAGGCGCACATGTGATCTCTTCAGTCGGTCACTGACGACATACAAGGTCCCGGGGCGAATCCGCCTCCAGGCTCTCCACACAGACTGCAGACTGATGATGCACGGTGTCAAAACAACCGTGATTATTGCGCACAAAGCGGCAGATGAGGATGTGTTGTGATGCACACATTGCACAAACCAAACATGTTCTATTGCAGACTGCTGCACTGGTGCAAACCAGACTTACTGAGCCACGTTTGGGCCAAGATTATAAAAATCATATCCGCCTTACAGCATCATAATTCTTTTTTATTTGTTTAGAGACTGATTTCTGATCCAGAGTCAAGGTTGTGGGTTTATTCTTTATGGGCAGATAACAAAACATTCTGAAAACAAAAATGTGAGGTGGATCAATTATGTGTTAAAACTCCTCTCCTTGGATTATATTGATATACATTGAACCTTTGTTATATTGCTTTTGATGTAAGTTATTCTGTGGAAATGATTGATATCTTTTAATTGCCCAGTCCCGGAACCATCAGCAACAAAGGTGTCTGTGCTATTTTCTATTATGTTAAGCTTTGTTTTTACAAAATCCATTGTATTGTTGCAGGAGTTAATTTGTGATTATCATCTCTGCAGCTGTGATATGATGTAAAGCAGCTTCTGCCAAATTATATCATTCTTGCCATGATATTGTGCGTCCATAACAGAGGGTGCTACATGTATCATTAATAGGTGATGTCAAAACTTGTCTTGAACTGTATTTGATTTGACATAGAAAGTAAATCCATGCAGTTGAAGCATGACACAGTGTCATCTGAAGCAGTATAAGTGCTTGTTACTGAAATACCCTCTGGTTAAATTCAACCTGACCGAGGAATGCATCACTGAGCTGGCTGGCAGGATACTCCATACTCCCAGAGATGATTTGCAGTTTCCCTGTGTATGTTCCTACACATACAGAGGGTCAGGGTCAGGTCTGCCACCAAGGGGGAAAGTGCTCCTTTACGTTTTAAATACACAATCGCATTGGGAAATGTTGCCACCCACAGTGAATATATGCACCAGTACAGTATTGAAGCTTCACCGCCTTATGGTGCCACTTGCACTTTGGCCCGTATCTGTGCCATAGCACCTTCCCTGACCTTAAAGGTGCCCTGTGCCCAGTGATATAAGTGTGTGTGTGTGGCTGGCTGGCTGGCTTCAAGCCTAGAGCAAACAGGCAGACAGCAGGCGTTTCTGTTAACTCAGTGGTCAGCTGCGCTCCTCATACCTCTGGCATGAGCTCCCCATTCATCAGGCATGAAGTGCTCTGGAGAGGGCACAACTGTGAGGGGACAAAAGCAAGGGGAAGAAGAGACTGATGGAGAGGACACTTTCTGGTAGCAGGGATTGGCTAGAACACACATTTTGAGTTAGTTTGGTGATGAGAATGAGGGAAAACAGCTGAAGAAGAGTTGCTTGTTTAAAAGACAAGAAGAAAGCATCCAATATCTTTTGGAAAGTGAAGGATGAGAGAGGGCAGCATTTTGATTGTCAGAAACTGAGCAGATAAACTTAGAGGATGGATAGAAAAGAGGATAAGTTGTGAACAAAGACAAATGACACAGTGGTGGAGATGAACACATTCACAATATTCTCAATCTTCATGTGAGAAGTAATGCTTTAAAACTGCAGCTGTTCTCTGTTTCACTCAGGAATGCAAGAGAGCAGGTATTTTGAATCGATTTGTCTTTGTATGTTGTTGCAATCCTTTCAACTCAAACTTTAAAGACACTCACTTTAACACCTTTGGCAGGTTGATAAAAAAATTATTTATGAATTTTAATTAATTTAATTAGTTTATGCATTTTAGTGTATTTTGAAATCTGCTAACATCAAATTGATGGCGCATTGGCAGAAATCAAGGCAACGACAATTTCTCAACATCCAAATATAGAGTTTCATCTGTTACTGTATAAAACTCACATTAAACTTACTAATCAAAAGCATTGCAGCCAATTAATTGAAATTCAAAAAATACATTTTGTTGTTCTGCAACCCGATCACCCTGCATCCAAAGCCCTGTCACACTGCCCTCTAGAATACCACAGAGGGCAGCAGGTTGGCTGACCCTCGGAGGAAAGCCCAAAAAGCCTCTCCTGTTTCCCTAGCTGTGGCACCTGACCGGTGGACAGCATACTGTACATTACACTGAGAGCTCCTGGCTCATCCTGCGGCCAGTCCGAGGACTGATCCTCAGCCAGTAGCTTTGTCCTGCTCACCCACTCTCAGACTGTTGACCTCTCACTGCTGCCTGCTGAGGAAACTTCCTTCTTTCTTGACCTCTGTCACATTTAGCTCAATTTCCCCATCTTTGTGCTGAGGTGCGAAAGTGAGGTTGTGTGTGCACGAGAGAGACAATAGGATTGGTGGCAGCAGCCTTCTTGTTTATGCACATTATTTTGTTAGACCTCAAAAACAAAATCAGATGTTTAAAAAGTGGAAACGTATTTTTCTGAAGTTTTATACAAATGAGGTGATGCTGATTATCTAAATATTAACGTACTTGTTGACTTTAGGAAAACATTTCACTTTGGCATTTAATATACAAATGATTTGATCATGTCTTTCTTATTGAGAAATAACAGTAGTAATTAATCCTTTTACTGAGCCAGCCCATAGTATTTACTTTTTTCTAGGTTGCACCTTGACTGCTAGAATAAAACAGCCTTGTGTGAAATTTTAAATATAATAAAGACTTCCCAGAATCCTCCTCCACATGTGAAAATGCATGACATTGTACATGCATGTATGTTGCAGAACAACATGTTACACCATCAGAGGTATTTATTCATAGGGAGGCTTCTTGCCTTGGTAGTCTGCAGGAGTAGTGGTAGTGGTCCCTGATTGGCCTACCGTGTACTCAGCGTGTCATGTGAGGCTTTCATCAATCTCAAGCTCTCATGTGTGTGGATTGATCACATGGCTGTGTTCTCAGTCACTGGAATAAACATATGAGTTGGATAAATAGGGAGAGAGGCATGTGTGTGTTTTCCTCACACTCTTTTTAAACACATGATTTTGGCATCACAAATGAATGTATTTATTGTTGCTTTGCATTGCAAAGCTGCTTTTTTCCGTGGGTGTGTTTGTGAGCTGCAGGCCTGCCAGGGTTTCTTAAGGCCACGGCTGTCAGCAGGTTCCTATCAGGACTATTTTAAGTAGCCACGCTCTGGCTTCTCAGAACTGCAGGGTTATGGTAAAGCTATAGTTTTACGTAAAAGTCATGCGCACATCTCGCACGCACACACACACACACACACACACACACACACACACACACACACACACACAGTGCTGGTGAGTGCTAGTATTCTGGCTTAACATCTAGATAGGTCTCTGTGTCCTCATAACTTTGCGAGGACATCTGTTCAAAGGCTGCACACATGTGTTGTGTACATTTCATTTCAGTCACTTTCAGTGGAATTGAACTGCAATATACTGTAAATTCAACTTCCAGTTGAGATTTTGTCGTCCTTCCCAGTGCGTCCAGTGTTTGTCTTGATTATACTGTTTACTCTGGGTCATACTGTTCTTAAAAACAAATAGATCAATATTTGGTGTACTTGAATTTTTTTTTTCATTTTAACAATTTATTTTAGATTGAGACATCCAAGGTTAAAAAATTGCCCATTAGCCTTTTGTCCATTGATTTATTGATTTCTTTAATGATGAGTTGTTGCTTCATGCAGTGACATTTAGACACACATGGATATTCGGAACATTTAGAGGAAACATGTAAGGCTAACTTTTATGATGAGCGTTTTTGTCTTTAAATAATACCTGACCTTTTTTATTGAAAAAGCTTTATTGTAGAACATTGCATCTTCCTACAGTTATCTTATTAGTGAGGATAAAGTCCGGTTTTAGTTTTTGGCCGATTTATTTCTGTCCCAATCAATGTAATTTGTTTTCACAGGGGCCATCTATTCTTAAAGAATGTGTTGTCAAAGCACAGTAAAAAAGAAGAATATGGATTGTGCATTTACTTTAACCTAAAGGTAAAATAAAAAAGAACTAATTACAACTCTGAGTAAATCACAAAACCATATCAGCACACAGCAAACATAGCGATGTGTGGAATTAAACGCTCACAGATTCATCTGCCGGGATTGTCAAAGTAAAACCAAAAGGTTTAGACTGTCAAATCACTGAATTAGCCCACGTTCAGTCTCTAAATGACAGCGAGAGGAGTGTGGGTGTTTTAAAGCAGAGGCAGGACGTGCTGCTGACAGTTTAATCACTTTTTGTCAAAGCTGGGCAATTAATCACAAATGTCACTTTTCAGGCCTCTAATTACTGAACGTACCAAAGAAAAATGTTCTCGTTTAATACTTATTGCAGTAATTACATTAAAAGAAAT